AAGTCAAGGTGGACATAGATGCTAACAAGTTGATTGATACTGAGAAACCTGAGTAGGTCTGGTCACTGAAAAGGGACAAAGAGCGCAGCCCATCATATATTGCGGAAGACTCAAGTTAACTGATATCCCTCGCGTACTCAAACCCAATGACTATATGGAAATCACGCATTCTAACCAACAGAGGAAAATAAAGGGGAACATATTTTCATTGCCATCTTGCAACAACTTAGTGCATTATAGCGACTTGAACTCTCCAGTCCCTCAATAGAAGCACAAACGATGTAAAGTTCTGTAAACGTCACTAGCACAAAGTCCTTTTATGTCAACCTAACACAAAATGACTATCAGAAAGAAACTGCTATAATAAACAACAAAGTAGACACCTACATTTCACAGGAATAAATCGATCCACAACCTGAAATTCAAGAACTGGAGTTTTCAAAAAAAGGTAACCATGAAGCCATCAACTCATAAACTATAACTGTTCTCCGAGGCTGGAAGAGGTACTAGGATCAAGTTCTGGTGTAACCGAGACCATTCTGCTGAAACTTACAAATCAGCAATTTTCTTGTTAGTAACTCAGAAATTGTTTGCCTCTGCAATACTTCTTACCCGATGTACTTAGTAAGCAACATTTTACTCTTGCAGTATATTCCATATGTAAGTCCTATTTTTGTGCTAATGCACGATACCTCGTTACCATAACACGATGAACCCTATACCTCGTGATTATTTAAGCAGCAAAGCTCACATGTTAAGAAAATAAACATAACTTTCCTCATGCAGTCAATTCCAAATGTAAGTCCTATTTTTATTGCTAATATTTGATCCTTGATCTCAATAACACGATGAACCTTATACCTGGTGAATATTTAAGCCGTAGAAGTCACCAGTTACAGAAGCAAACATAATGCTAAAAATTATTGGACTCGGAGAGGAACATAAAAATTGTACAGGCAAAGTAACAATAAGCTCACTTATCTTGATTGCAAAAGCCACGACATAGCGAAAGAGCTGAAGCTTGTATTCCACTTCATGTCAAGGGACTCAAATTGGAAACTGATGATAATCCAACCAGTCTCTCTCTACTGAATCTGAATATCAGTTATTCAAAATTTGTGAAGACCTGCAAAACCACATGGTGGCAGGCAAGATTCCGAACGAAATATGGAAGACATGCTATTCTATTTCTCCTGAATATTGAAATATTGAACCAGATAGATATTACAAAGAGCATGCTATTATCTCCTTTCAGTTTAGATAAAACTGATTTTGCATGTAAACCGTCTCAATAGCAGATGACTCAAGCTGTGTAAAGTATATAAAGAGAAGTCTCGTGACATTGGATTTGATCAGACAATTGAAATCGTCAAGACAAAACTTACCTCCACCATAGTCTTACACTTGATGATCAAACTCACAAGTGTACTCTGTGCTGCAGGAGAGACCTTCACGACAAAATTCACATTATTTCATGAAAAATTGTTGCATATCTTTCAGAATTCTTCGTTGTCAAACCAAATTGCTAGAGTCTTATGTCCAGCAAAGGTCGAGTCATGTCACGGCAAAAGTTATTTGAACATCAACTAACAATAGTGCAGGGCAAAGCACATGCAATATAGCAATAATGGAAAAATCCCAAAAAAGTAGTTGATCAAGGTGTCAATGCCAGTCATGGAAACAAAAATAGTTCCACAAGAATTCACCATGACGACATCAATACTTCGTGTGGTGAATCTTTTAATTTGTTTTCCGACTACGATAAAACAAAATTTGTGACCAATTACGAAACAACTTGACTGCTCAAATTTCCCACAGGAAATAAATTTCAACTGTATAAAAGACAACACTAAAACATAGTCAAGAAATTAAGGCATTCCAAAATCAAAAATTGGTTATTTTTCTTAATATCTTTGCTCATACTTTCATGGGAAATCTTCAAATTTATTGTATTTCCTCAGCAATTCATTGCAGGGAAAAATAACTAGTTCATGTTGTTTATAAGCGAAACACTGCCAATTGTATCAATCAGGAAGAATGACTCGAATTACTTGTGCAATTCTTTTTTCTCTAATTGAGCATCCACCATAAAATTACTCATCAAATATCACCTGATAAATCAGAAAGACGGATCAACACAAAGTTTATGTGCAAAATGGAGATGCATGTAATGCCATGTATGATCAACTGAAAGAGGAAAAAGAACCCACAAAAAATTACTAAAAACTTACTTCCGTTCCATATATGTATTTCTTATTCTTGATCAAAATGGAGATGCATGTATGATCAACTGAAAGAGGAAAAAGAACCCACAAAAAATTACTAAAAACTTACTTCCATTCCATATATGTATTTCTTATTCTTGATCAAAACCAAGAATTTCCATGACATTTATTTTTCAAAAAGATAAACAACACAATGCCGATTGGGATCCTGAAGAATTCTCGAGTTGTTATTAGGAAGAGAAACCAAAATGATGCCTCCACAGAATGCCCTCATCAATTGAGCCTTTGGTTTCCACTTCCCATTCTGGAAATTCACCAGTGCAAGAACCTTAACCCCAAGAGTGAAAGTTCCCTGATCCAAATCCTCTTTCAGGGCCTGCCCCACATCCTTTCCAAGTTCCAGATCATGGAAACCGAGATCAGTGTTTATCACCGTCTCATTTCTCGTGGGTTGAATCAAGGGAGGCAAACAGTCTTTAGAAAGCTGCAAACGCTGGGAGGATGTATAGAGAAGAGTTATTTCCATTTGATTATATATGGCGGTCAAGTGGTGGTTGGGATTGGTGAGAGTGAGGCTCAATTTGCACGAAGCTGTAGCTTTATTATTGAAGATTGAAACTTTGGAAAGCTCGCCGGAGGAGACTTCAAGTTGAGGAGTACTTGGGTGGACTACAAGCCAAATAAAAAACCAGAATATACAAGTGATAAGAGTTAATAGTAGCGCCCAGGTTAGAGCACGCCAAAAGATGGGCCTATCACGGCATGGAAGCTGGTAGATATTAGCATACCATGCATGCTCTGGTGTGGGTTGTGGCTGCGCAAAAGGGAGGGGCAAATGGGGGCTGCCACCGGCGACAGGGACGTTCTCCGGCGACTGTATCTCCAGCGGGTACCCAATCACAACTTCTTTTTGTTCACCAGTAGCGGCATTGATGTCAAACGCAGAGGCGGAGGTGTGTGGGGTGGTGGAGGAAGAGGCGGAAGATGAGGAGTAAGAGGAAGCCATTGCCAATTCGCTGTCATACAAAAATTGAATTCAGATTGTGAAATTTTTAGATTCAACTAATGCTATTGCTATATAATGAAGCTTGCTGGCAGAGTTTAAGGGTTTGATGATAACACGTGGAAGAGAGGTGTCGCCATGAAGCTTCATGGAGGAGATAGCCAAATCTATTTTGTCGTTTTGAGCTTCTTTCCTGAGGATTTTTGTTGATGACGCTCGAGGATTTCATTGAGGAAAGTTGTAACCGACGATAAAGGTTCAAGCATTTATGACCATTTGTTTGTTTCTGTGAATGACCAGATGCATTCTGTAAATGGCTATGGCGTTTAGAGATGAAAGGAGAGGAAAAAGTGGTCTGTAAGTCGGAGTGGGGAGACGAAGTGGTAAAGTAGTGTTTGGCAAACCAATTTGAAATTAGGGTAAATTGCACCAGAGGTCCCAAACCTTTCAAGAATGTGTCTCCAAGTCCCAGCAAGAATATTGAGATAGTAAAAGAATCTATTTTGCCAAATTAGGTTATCGGCTCGCCATGATAATCAATGAGAACAATTTACAGGTAAAGTCATATCCATTACAAAGCTTATGATACTTTATGGTAGAACCAAACAAAACTAAAATTTTCATTTAGAAATTATTCAAGAATACAATTAATTCCAATCACACATTTCAAAGGATTCACACTTCTACCAATTTTTCAACCTCACATTTCACCAACTTCTTATCAAAATCTCTACTAAAAACCAGTTTTTTAGCTACTCGAACAATGACATGTGATGGTAAAGTGAGTTGCATATTCCCCTTCGAGTTCAAAGCTCGTCGCAACAAGAAAAAGAAGAATTTTATTGATTAATGATACAACATACATTTTTTTTTGCCACCATTCCACACACCACCACCCGTTGGAGTCGGAAAATCAACCTTTAATTCCACACATACAACATGTAAGGTTGTCTGTTTTCTCCAAAACTCCCCAGCCATAAATGTAGCTGTTGCTATTATCCTAACTTCAAAAACCATGCTCCCTTTACGTCGTTCTTCTATCATATCTTTCACCCACGGCGCATCAGTCGTGCTATAATATGTGTCATCCGAAGCAGGCACAAAAAAGTCAGTATCCATATCCATTTCTTCAGTTCTCTCAACCTGAAAAGAATCAGCCAAGGATGTATCGACAATGAAATTCTTGTAAACAAGGCTACTTTCGGTTTGATCGAAAGAAATATCTAGTTTACGGTTTGGATTCTTTATGTTCAACGTGGCTTCCCAATTAGCCTTCACCTTTGTATCGGTGAAGTTGAAAATGGGAATGGAAAACTTTTGAATTTCATAACCTGGAAATTCTGAACCGACAAGAAACCACAATAGGAGGCTCAAGAGGACTGCGCCAAAGATTAATGCAACCGTAAGGCTAAGCACTACGCAACAAAATGTATTGCTTGGTTTGTGATCGGTGATTGGGAATTGTAATTTATTTGACGATGGACAGGCTGGATTGTACTTCTTGTAATAACCAGCACCGTCAGGATATGGTTGCGCTAATTCTTGATAGGGAGGGCGGTATACATTCGTAGGACGGTCTTTGGATTCTTCGTCGACCAAGCTAGACATGGCTGTCCCTCCCTCCTCCTGTCTCTCTCTAATGGTGGAGAGACAGAATTAAAGATAAACAATTGGATCCCTGTAACCCAATTGAATTAAAGAGGGAGAGTAGCCTCTTGTTTGAAAATGTATGCTGAGGGAATAAGGCCAATAATTTTAGTGGTTGAAATTCATGTACATATAGACAACATATTTCAGGGGTCCTAAATTCACTGCCCAGACAGCCATTTTTTTGACGTACTAATTGAGACATTCAACCGTGAATTTATCAGAGAATTCAACAGGAACATTTAAAAGGGAAAAAAAATGAATTTCAAGATTTTTAGCCTTCAAATCCTGGATGGCTCCATGATAAATAAAAAGCTTGGAGCCAAAACCATAGACCACAATGTTAAATACTCTTTTTAACCATAAAAATAAACACTTTTCTAGGTTACAATCTACGTTGATGTGCCTAGAGCAGGTCGTTCCTCAAGCCTTCAAATCTTGGATGGCTCCATGATAAATAAAGATCTTGGAGCCAAAACCATAGACTACAATCTTAAATACTCTTTTTAACCATAAAAATAATCACTTTTCTAGGTTACAATCTACGTTGAACTCTTTCGTCTTCCACCATTTCGCCGCCAAACTATCACAAATAAGTAATCACATAACCTACAGAATTTTCAAGAACGTACGCAAAACAGGAAAATTAAAGAGAAGAAAGAGGAGAGTTCTGGATATAGGAATTTGGAGAGGTGTGGGGTTTTAAGATTACAAGAATTGAAAGGCGGTTGGGGTAATTTAGGGGTATTATTATGAAAGGAAAATGCAGATTTCGTGGGAGGGTAGAAGGATTTGGTAAAAAACTTGGGATACAAGCAAGAAACATGAAGGGTCAGTGTCAGAAGCATGAATGGAGGGTGAATTTGTCTTAATATGCCTATTTCCTTAATACTAAAAAAAGGTTAAACCCTAACCTTAAGGGTCCCCCACCACCTCTGTCCTGAAGTATCGTGAGGGAGGTAAATCGCAGGTTATACCTCCAAGGGTATAGGGTGGAAGGCTGTTTGGACACTTGCACTTACCCAAAAGCCAAATCCATATTTCAGGATGCGAACCCTTAACGCAGCAACTTCAAGTAAAGCTGGATTTCTCCGTCCCCTTTTAACACTTGGAGATGTGCCTTGAGGCACCTATTTCCTTAATACTAGTTTTTTGCCCACATTGTTCTTTTGAAGGTATTGCTAGAGTGTCAGAAGCATGAATGAGATATATATATTTGATAACTAAAATCATAATTTATACTCTAAACTCAATGAATTGTTAAATTTCATAAAGTGACAATAAAAAAATTTCAATTAAAGTAATCTGATTTTTGCATTCTATTTGAACAAATTAGTATTTCATTTACCAAGAGTGTTGTGGAAGTGATAGACAAAGAGAGGAAATAGGTTGTATTTATGAGTTCCAATGTCATCAATTGAGAAGTAAATAAAGCATAATGAAATTAATAATAAAATTTCAAAGAATACAACATATTCACAACGTCACTTTACGATTTCAACTTTACCTATACTATAGGAGTATTACAAATGTTTATATATCCGAAATGGAACTTTTAGTTTGGAGTATATAAGTTTGCAAATAATTAAAATGTATGAAAGTTTAAATAGAATGGAATGTTATAGTTTAACTTCAAATGCAATATAAACACCTGTTCTTACAACTTTAGTCATGCAAATCGAAACCATTGGGAAACAGAAAAATACATATAGAAAAGATAAATACACTAAAAAATAATGTGACTGGAAAATAACGAAAGCGAACCCACTACATAAACAAGTAGGGAAATACTTTTATCCATCGCCGCCAGTGAAAATTCAAATGGGAAACAGATAAAGTATAGAAAAAATAATTATTACCCTGCTTCTGAAAGTCTTAAGAATAGAAGATGAAGATTTCTTGATCGCTGGCAGGATGATGAAACAGATTACCGACCACGTAACCATAGTAAACATGTAAGCATCATGACTGACATATTTGAACTATGACACTTCACAAAGAAACTGCTCGTCAAAGCTATAGCGCATCAAGCTACTGCATTAACATACCCCCAGGAATAAATGCAACTTTATGTCCCATCTTCATATAATGAAGAAAAATGAATGTTAACTGCATATTGGTTAAATTAACTATTAGATGACAGAGCCAATCCTGATATTTTGATGACCTTATGTCAATTTCAAATTGGGGCCCTATATTTTGACTCTCCTTGTATAGAGTTTTAGCCTATTTGATGGAGATTAAGCCCTTATTTGAATCCCATTTTCATCAAAATACATTATTAAACAGTGATTTGACACCATTTCAACCATACATTTCTCAATAAAATAATATTACACATAAACTCAAAATCTTTCCTTATTTTTTAGTTACACATTCTCCACCGTAACATTATTTCAAAATGCATTTTTTTGAGGAAAATGGGGCTCAAACAACACTTAAAATCAATTTTTTAGTATATTTTGATAGAAGTAGATAGAATATGTGGATTTAAAGTTTTAGAACCCATAAAATATGTGGTTAAAATTAATTGTCAATTTTGAGTTAGATTAAAATCTAGATTTTAGTTGATGCCAAACAGGGGCATAATATAATTATATAGAATCTAACACAGACAACTAGGCCACAAAATTTGAAAAGAAAGTAAATAAAATATCAAATTTCAACCAGCAATACAAATTACAAATAAAGTTTGACAAACAGAATTAAAATTCAATGACAAAGGGATATGCTTGTTTGTATGATTATTTCCTCACTGCAACTATTTCAAATAAAATTGAATATACATTTGAATGATTTATGTACAAAATTGGAGAATGTGACTGCAAAAGATAGTGTAACAAAATAATGAAAATGATGATCAAATAGAAACGAGCTTCTAATTTTATATTAATTTATAAAAAATTAACTTAAAATAAGAAGTATCTGAATGAACAAGAATAAAGAATTATTAAATTCAAAGTACTTTAAGCAAATAACTAAAAATATTATTATCATAAGATTAAAACAAAACAATGTAATAACAACCTATATATTCTGTAGTATATGTTTTGAAGATAAGAGAGAAAGAAAGAAACATGTAAGACTGTAACAATAACAGCGAGATCAAACCAAATTATATTGAATCTTCAAAATTTTAATTCAAAATAAAATAATTTATATCTTGCTATGTTGAAAAAATAATGATGGGTGATTATTGGACATGAAATTTGAAAAGGCAAAGAGACCTTTTGTTTGGTTAAAAAAAGAAAATGAATGTTTAGAAGATAATATGTCAACTTAATTATAAATATGGAAAGTAATGTTTGCGATAAATAAATATAAGTGATAAGTTTGTTGCCATATATATATTTTAAAGATTTTTGTATTTTTAATTTTTATTAGTTTCTTATGTTTGCATATGATAATTTTATTTTCAAAATTTCGTAAATACAATTTTCATTTTTCTTCAACCAACCAATTAACTTTACATAATTTGAGGCCCTCATCAAAGCAGGGCCTTAGGCGATCGCCTATTTCGCCTATACTCAAGACCGCCATTGGTAGATGAAATCATTGATCATAAGCAATTTTATGTTTGTTAGTCGGTGAGTACTGAGGAGGTTAACTGGATAGAATGGATGTTTCTGATGGAAATACTTTCCCAAGCTCTATAAATACTCGTAAACATAACCAGCAATTCAAAACCTAAAACTTTCATTAACTAATATCTAGTAAAGAAACATGCATCTTATAATTCAATAATCAAATATACTCTAAAGCTAGCCATTGAGATTGGAGAACCAAAGCCTATATAAACCACACAAAGGAAGCCTTTACTTTCAATGTGGGATTCAGGTGCCTATACGCTCCAATGGGAACCATGACAAAGATGTATGTCAAATTTAATCTACAAATAGCATATAATATAATTCCTTGATGAAGAAAATAATACATATATGTTTAAACATGTTAATTCATAATTTTCACAAACTACTTTCTAATAAAGAAACACCTTTGTCAATGATGAATTTTTTAAAGACACAAAGTAATGAGAAACAATTATGGAAGAAACTCGCTTACTCCCTGTTATTATCTACTATATTGATGAATTTTTGTACTGTCTATACCATGAGACCAGTTTCCGTATGTGTAAAACTTTAGAATGTATACGTTCATTAAATGCAGTTCGAACTCTTACCAGTAACTAAAGCTTCATTTTACCATTTCCAATTATCAACACAATTTAATTTTCTTGAAATAAACCATTGCTTGAATCCAGTATGCTACTTAGGATCCATAAGAGACACACAAACATACACATACAAAATCTTACAAACACAACAAAAATATTCTTAAGAAGTATCCATCCATCTTCAAGCTCCATATCCATCATCTTGAAAACTCCTGAATCTGAACATTCACTCTTTGTATAAACTTCTCAAAAGATTGAGAAATTGAACTAAGTATTTTCCATCAAATTAAAAGTAGAACATTCAGCAATGAAGTACCTTGTTTTGCTGAGCATGAGGATCATCTCCTTGCACCAAAATAATGTGCATCTTTTCAAGCTAGGGCACATCAATAATCCTTTCATTGCCCAAACTCTGTAAGATCAAGTGATGTATAAGTAAACAAAGACCAAAATAAGCAAAAATTATACACGAATCTTTCCTGTGTAATTTCTAGACCAACTACCTTAAAAGAAATACTATCCTTGTGAAATGTCTTGTGAAACCTCTCATCAACTTCATCGCCAGTAGCATACTTGAACCCGCATGTCTTTTACATGTGTGCAATTGAAAATTAGATTGACCAACCTCCAAGTGTGATTGGGCATAGTTACTCTTCTTGTTCAAATATCCCACACTTGGACAGTCCCAAATTTATTAATTTTTTCTCTGAATCGTGATCTTTTGATACTTTGCTAATAAATCCGCTTATCCACCGTCATTCTCATTGTCAACAACATATTTGAAAATTTTCCCAAAAAATTCCGACAATTACTAAATATTAATATGGTTCAAATATAGTTGAAGAAAACACATACTAATATACACGATAAATGAACACAAAATCTAAATTATAATCGTCTGGATATTTCTTTCGGAAAATTCAATTGCATGGACACCCACAACATATCCACACAAAACTAATGACATAAAAATTAGCACTACCAAAATAGAATATCGCTTAAAGTGGACCTCTTATGAGTCTTATAATTGAGTAATACCCGAAAAATAGATTTTCGAATTTAATTAATAAGGAATCTGGGTCGTGTACCTGTCCAAGCATGGAGTTCTGCGCTTGTATGTGACGGCGATTTCTGGCCCTTTTGGGAATTTTTCAAAATAATTATCAAAATTGACGAGTAATGGAGATAGATCTAGTGCTTCTTTTTGTGTAGAATAATTGGGTCTGAAGATTTGGTTGCATTTTTTCAATTTCGTTTATGAATAATAAGACAGATCTGAGAGATGGTTTCGCGCCAGAAATGAGTTTTCCAATAACCTTTGGGATTTGGGCTTTTGAGACGTTATTTAGCCCAATGAACCGATCCGACCCGATCTGAATTCATTGAAAGTCATGACAATGAAGTATGGAACTCTTAATTGCAAAGGTTTTGAATATATCAGAATATTGAATTTCATCGTTAGATCGAAAGATGAAAAGCTTTATTATTAAAAAAATGTGAATCAAGATAATTAGCACCTTAATAAAGTAATCAGTTGGAACAACACATTATCGATTACATCAATTAACTAACATTCTTTATAAAACAGCGTAAACCTGAAAGTTAGTCTACAAGCAATGATTACAATAATAAATCGTCCCAACCAATCAATGGGAAGCAGGGAATAACACTTCGAGTAATCCTATTTCCATAACTTGTCATAGATGATTAAAATAATTGGAACGGTGTTGAACTCTCAAAAATGATTATTTTCATCCACCATGCTTTGAAATGTTTCGACCCCATTAGTTAAAGTGTGTGAAAGTCTTCAATCATCAATCGATCTTTTTCTCTCTCTCTCTCTAAGAATTTGAATCTGAAAGTATACCATGTTACTTTTTTTAAGATCAACGTCTACCGCATACAATAGTTAAAGGATAGCACAAATTCGAAAATGAAAAATGCTTGAGGTCCATTTTGGTGTCCAAAATGGACACCCGGCACCTCGGTATTGGCCGAGGCGCCTGTCAGCATTACCTTTCTAAAATTTACACGAATTCCTTGTCAATCACGTCAGTTTTACAAAGTTTAAAAGTGGTTTTATATTATTGGTCGGTTGAAGTCTTGAAGATTTATTTTTTATCTTTCGAGGACTAAAATGTCAAAAAGGAGACATGATTGATGTTGATGAGATGTAAATATGGCTTGATTTCTTGTACATTGGACACTTGGTTCCAATCTTTTGCATAATAGCTCCCTTTGGATTAGATTTGTCATTTTTCATAGTGGTACGAAATGTTGAATCTATTGTCCAAAAAAACATTTATTAATTTATATCTAATCATCAAGCATATCCAATTTAAATACTAAAATGTCATTCAATGTTTTAAAAATTAACGAACTTAATAACATTACGTATGAATTTTACACATATAACATATTTTCGACATTAGTTTATGCCATGTCACCAGAATCATAACACGTCACCAAAATCATGAGTAATATGCATTTTCAAAATGGCAAGTGACAAAGTGATGGGAGGAATAATATTTGGTTAAGTTCAGTGGCAACTTAAAAACTTCCAACTCAGAAACATTTGAGATACTTGAATATTTTTGAAAATTCAATAGCAACTAGAAACATTAGGAAAAGTTCGGTGACATAATTATGTTGTCCAGGAGAAACTCGAAGCCATGAAACCTAAGAACAATAATTATGACAAATATTTGTGTCGGAATTTTGACTAAACAACGTACACAGCAGAAAAGAGAACTGAAGTGTTCTTCGTACCAATATCTACATCTCACAAGACTGAAATCGAACCCTGCACAAGGTAGTGTAGACTTATCCGGATCGATGATGACTAGAACGACACCTCCAGGTATTTTTTTTTTCAAGCATGGAAACCCCAAAACTTTCCATTCTAATCAAGAAAAGCCAATTCTAGAAATACAATTTCACACACAATCATGTTATCTACACCTATCACATATCAACAAAAGCGCAGAATACCTCTTCTACCTGCCATCGGCTGAAGTGAAGGACTCTGCAAATCCAGTAGGTCTAGCTGGAATACTACCCTTACTGTCTTCAAGATCCATATAACTCGTGTCTTTTACTTCTGCTTCTTGCCAATCTTTCACCATTTGGTTAAGGGGAAGGCTGTAATCAATGCCACAATACTCCTCTATATCATCATCGAGCGGTTTCCATTTCTCAACAAGGGAAACCAAGACATTCACAGCATGTCCCATATCAGGTCGTTGAATAGGATCCCTAGCTGTACAGTGACCAGCCAGTTCAGATATGATGGAAATGCTTTCGAATGTTTCTTCTTTCACGTCTAGAGCAGGGTCAATGGCAGCCACTAGTTTCTCCTTACTGAATTTGACGTGCCAGAACCATGCAACCAAGTATTGGCTTTCCTCGGGTTTGTGTTCGTCAAGTGCCATCCTACCAGTTAATAGCTCCATCAACACAACCCCAAAACTGAAAACGTCGGCTTTTGTAGTGATTTTACCCATAACTGAATAAAAGGAATGCATGATTCTCATCATATTTCTAAGTTGAAGAATAAAACATTTAGATACTAATGAAAGATTATTACAATGTAAAATAATAAGCCTTTAGGCTATCATATGACCAGACAAGCTAGTTTATTTATTATACTGGTTATATTCTTTCTTCTTTATTTTTTTGTAGCTCACAGCAATTTGTTTATTATAGTTTCAGATTTTAGATTGTATCATTTTAGAGCAGAATAAGTATGGAACAAAATCACATATCACTTAAAAGAGGAATTCTATTTACCGTGTACTAGAGAGCAAAACAATAACAGAATCCTTACCAGCATATTCAGGAGCCAGGTACCCAAAAGTTCCAGCCAGCCGAGTCACCACAGACTTCTCTGCATCAGGAGCAAGTTTAACCAGACCAAAATCTGATATTTTCGCACGAAAATCATCACCAAGTAAGATATTTGAAGATTTGAGGTCTCTATGTATAAAACTCTGATGAGCGAGAGTATGAAGGTACTCCAATCCTCTAGCAACATCCAGTGCAACATTTAGCCTCCTCTTCCAAGAGAGAGGCTCAAGTTTCATACTCTTCCATTGAAAAAGATGCTTGCTCAGAGCCCCTTGAGGCATATACTCATAAACCAGAATTCTTTCATTGCCTTCAATAGAATATCCCAAGAGAGATACTAAATGCCTGTGACGAACTTTAGAAAGAACAGCAATTTCAGATTGGAATTCGTCCAGCGCTTTGCTGCTAATTACACCAGCTTCCATTCTTTTCACAGCTATTTTAGTTCCATCAACAAATTCTCCCTTATAAACTACCCCAAAACCACCCCGACCAACTTCATTCTCTGGGGCAAAGTTCTTGGTTACGTTTCTAAGAACTTGAACTGATACGACCAAATTTCCAGCCTCAATGACATGAGATTGACTACTATTTATGCTGGCCGAACCGCTCTCCATCAATGAAGAAGCACTTCTATTTGTGTTATTTACAACAGCCTTAAGAGTGCTATCTGAATCGGTCAGGTCTCTTGGATGAATCATAAGGGAACTTGGAGTAGGGTATCTGTCTTTTCTCTTCTTGTGTAAATAAATAGACAGAGGCACGACCAGGCAAATCAGAATTGCAAAACTTGCTACAAGGGCTACAATGACAGCTAAATTAGTGTTGGAACTTTTCTCGTTCTTTAATCCATTTGTAGTAGTAGTAGTACTTGGATTAGATGTGCCAGGCGAGGATTTTGAACCTTGAGATGACACGGCACTTCCTTGCGAAGGAGCTTTTCCAGTCTGATTTGAGTTTAATAGAGAATTTCCACCTAAGACAAGGTTTACACTGCTGCTAAATTTTGGAAGAGGAGGGGAAAGATTGTTCCCACTCAAGTTCAACAGAGTCAAAAATTTCAACCCCGCCCAGTTTGTTGGAATAGGACCAGATAGATTGTTAGACTCAAGATGAATACGTGTAAGAGAATCAAGTCTTCCAATTGAAGGACTTAATGTTCCGGAAATATTATAGTTGGGCAAATTTATAGAAATGACCTTTCCTTTGGGATCACAGCCCACTCCTAGCCACGACCCTTGACAGGGGTCATTGCCCAACCACGATTCAACAAGCCTGGAGGGGTAATTCACCCCATCAAGAAACTCTAAGAGAGCCATAACTTCCGGAGTGCAGGGAGCTCCCAGATTAGATTGACAAAAGGGATTCGACTTATAAGTGACATTGATAGCTTTGAACTTTGGCACTGGACCCATGAAATGATTGTTGTTCAAATCTAAATGGCCTAATGGCATACTTGGCAAGCCATTGGGAATCAAACCAACAAGTTGATTGGTATTTAGATTAAGATCCTGCAAAGAAACTAAGTTACTGATATTCTCTGGGATCTTACCTGTAAAATGATTCCCATGGAGCCAAAGACTGGTGAGTGACCCCATTGTCGCAACTATATCAATTGGACCAGTCATGCCATCACCAGACTGTCCATTCAACCAAAGTATAGTCAACATTGAGTCCCTAAAACTGTCTGGAATACCACCAACAATCCGATTCATTGACAACTTCAAAACCTCTAAAGATGTCATATTTCCCAAAAAATCAGGCAAAGAACCGGCCAAATTGGAGTTTATCAAAGTAAGATTAGTCAATCGAGTTGAACCTACCAAATCACTAGGCAGTGACCATCCAGTGGTGGCATTGAGAGGGTTATCATCCAATGCCAACACCTCCAAATTCACAAGCCCACCAAAGAAATCTAATGGGATTGAAACAAAATTGTTGTAATCCAAATAAGCATACCTCAATTCAGCCAAACCACTAAAAGATGGCAACTTTCCACTAAATTGGTTCTGCTGCAGGCCTAAATTTTGCAACATGGACAACTGGTTAAAATTCTGAGGTAAAGGGCCTTTCAATCCCGAACCCCTAACTTGAATCTGTGTAACTCTATTGCCAGAACAAAATATATGTGGCCAGCTTGGAGGCCCACATGGGTTATCACCATTTGCAGGCCAATTCAAGAGCTCAGGATTTTCCAAACCTTTTCTCAACTGATTTAATACAGCTAGGTCATTGGGGTCTGTAACGCAATAAGCAACTGAAATACAAAAGAGAAAGAGTGTTGCAGCAATTCTTATCGGAATATTAGCCTCCATGGTAGATCTCTTTCGTCACCGTACATGTGTTTATAGCTCAAGAAAAGCTAAATGTGAACTCTCGAGCTACTTCTTGAAAACCCCATCTCAAAATCATGGAAAAACTTAAAATGGAGTTTTGAAAAAAATGGGCTTCTTGTATCAGATTCTCCAAGAAGAAGGAGTGATGATTGGAGGGAGAAATTATCAAATACTAGTACAGAATACTTAACAGTGATAAAGCTTAAGCAAGAATAATATAACAAAAAAAAAAAAACTGTTCAAGGCAACTTGATGACCATAAAAGTGGATATTTGATAAGAAATGTTTTAATATCAAATTCTGTGACAGATTGAATGTGTAGATCGGTATCCATATG